CACATGCAAAGTCGTTAATTGGTTTAACACTCAGAATGGTTCAAACTTTAAACCAGATACAAAAGAAACGTTTTTCGCCATGTAACACTCTATGGAAAAGTACTAATAATAACACGGAGCTAGTGAGAAAATTCAATTACACGCTCCTCACAAATTTTACAGACTAGAAATCGTTCCTCCTCCCCCTTCCCCAGGCTATTAGTTGTTTGTTTGCTCTTTTGTTTATTTTGTAATTTTAAGTTTTCCTTTCCTTTTATTTTTTCTTTCTCTTGTTTTCTTTCTTGTTTTTTATCCTGTTTGATTTGACTGTAGCTAATGTGTGTTGTCAGAATTAATTAATTACTTTATTTTATTCGTTTTCCTAATGTAAGTAAATAACACCTGGTGTAAATAAGTAATGTACACTGTAGTATCAGAGTAGCCATACCAGAGTACTTTGTTATTGTAATTAACCGCGTGGTCATGGGCTGAGCGCGGTTCATGTTCTACCCGTGGTTGTTGTTGTTTTTTCTTTTTGTGTCAGTGACTAGACCCAAACTTCCTCTTGGCCAAATGTTGAATCACGCAACCTGTGATGTTTATTCACGTTGGATTCGAAGGAAATAATAAATATGCTAAAGAGAGGTATTGCGTCAGCTAAGGAATGCGCTGACATTGCATCTTCCACTTTCACTACGTGACAAATAAGATCATGTTTACTTTGCAAGTTTATTTCGCTAGGAATGACAGTCTTTTTAGTTTTCCGAGTATTTTTCGTATTTTTAGACAAGAGAAGTGAATTGCCGCGCTGTAAAATTGAAGCGAGTTCAGAGATCGGAAGGAAAATTAAATATTTGCAAGCCAAGCAAAGAACGTGTCAGAACGTGCAAGGACTTTGTCATTGGTAGGGAAATAAACACTGTACTAAAGATAGCCATGGATAATGTAATTCTTGAATTATGTAATTCATGTGACTACTTTGCTAGCCCTTTACTTGTGGAAAAAACCAGTTAAATTTAATCGTGACTTTTAAGAAAGCAAGCTGTTGTTAATAGGGTTATTATCAAATCGTTTGTATCGTTCATGCCCATACATATCCTGAAGAAAGTTCCAGCTTACGTCATCGGAGATTTCACAAGGGCTATGACTGGTGGTGCATTAAGACAGTATGTGTTGATCAAGTGATGTGATGTCTACAGAAACAAATGAATCATCAAGGACTGTTTTGGAATGTGCACTGCATTGTAACAGTAGTGCTAAGAAAACAGTTAAATTTTAAAAGCACAGTTATAAGATCTAACAGATCTTGTTTGTAATTTGTGACACGTGTAACTTTAAATAAATGAATAAATAAATAAATAATAATAATAATAATAATAATTAGTTAAAAAAAGAACACCCAGATTTAAAAAAGCAATTCTCTTAACTAACTTTTAGATGGGTT